TAGGATATATCCTGACCGACATAGGTTTGGTTCATCTTGTTGTTTATGCAGGATCTTTAGGTCGGGCATCGTTCAGACAAGGCGGTCGGACCCGACCGTTAGGCTTCCTGCTGGCGTTATTTCCCGATCATCATGCCTCTGCTTCTTAAAGAGACAAAGATGTTAGGGAGAGGCACGTGGCGATGCTCTACGTTGACACAGAGGGCTCGCCGGGTGAAAACGCGTGGACGCTACGTGGGATACTTGCCGGTAGGCCGGAAGTTTGTCTCCGGCCAAAGGCTATAAATACCCACGGCGGCTACAGTGAGAGGGACTTTTGGGACGATCAAGAGGTTATTTACAGAGCTGCCCGACCGTATTCAGTCGGCCCTCAGGATAACCATTTAGACTGTACTAGGACTCCTTTTGATTAATAAAATCCCCTTTTATTATCTTCACTTATTCTCATTCAGTACTTCGACCGCATTTGGTGAATAATTTGTGGACAGATCTGGTGTTTGAACTGTGTTTTTAGAGGAGCCATGATGTTTGTCCGTGGTATTCGTTTAAGTTTTTTTGTTGGTTTTGGTTTTTTTTTTTTTTTTAATGTATTTTTAGACCACTCCTTTAGTGCGTTAATAATTTGGTTGTTGGCATTGCTCCTTGAATGTATTGAACATCTCGCACCGTGAATTAAATTGACATCTGTACAACATATGTAGACAGGAAAAAATATAGCACAGGTATGAGCTACTGCGGCAGAGAGCATTTATTAATTCTGTAGTGACATATAGAAAACTCCAGTGCACTTGTTTGGACCATTTTAGTGATAACCTCAACACCTAAATGAAGGGACAGGAGGGAATAAGTAACAAGAGTATATAAATTATAGAAGACCATTGCTCTTATATATTGCACCTATTGCAAACCAGCGTAAGTGGGATCAAATTGACGCATCAATGAAATGACAACTGCGCATCAAAAGTCAACTATGAGCGTTATGACGGACATACTCATAACGAGCTGCTATGGGGTGGTGGGAAATTGTTGCTATTACTAAACTAAAAGGAAATAAACTAAACTAGCAGTGGGTGACAAGTACATGTCAGACAGTTGCAAAAGGGCGGTTTCACATCTCGGATCCAGGAATTTGTTGCAGTTTATTTTTTGATTGTGTTATTAGTATCAATTAGGTCATCGACATTGGGAATACTTCCAATAAATTAGTTTGGCATCACACATTCATTGGCATCACACATTGATTACTCCCATTACTGTGTTCATATGAGCAAGTAATAATTACGCATCTATTTTAAAAGCTCAACATAAATGCATTTTGGCAACTTTCTTTTGTTTGGCGCATTGGAAATACTTTCAGTATATTAGATTTCTTCTCCCAAAAGTATATTAGATTACTATTAATATATTGGTAGGATACGTATACATAGTAATGCACCACTGCACCTAGAAATATAATGTTAAGTATTCATCTCATATTCGTTTAACATAGCAAGAAACACGAAAGAGAGTATATGTCCCGCCTGTAGAGGATAGATTTAGTAATAGCGAACTGCATCGCACCGCCACCCGAAACAACGGGCTGCACCGCCAACAAAAAGAGCCCAGTGATGCACTGTTTATTATATGCTAAATGGAGGTGCACCCCTATTTAGCACAACAAGACTACACACCTACACAGATTATGTTTGCAAAAAGGATAAGTTAACCGACTACTGCAATCGGTCACAATGATTGAAGGTCCCAGTTTATTAACTATTGCTTTTCAGAGCTGCCCCCTAGGCAGTTGTTAGGCCGGTTGGCGCGTCGTTGATTGAAGCATCTGTGAAACCCTCACGCGATCGTACTCTCCCACACGTGCGATAATATTTTGCACGTGGACATTTGCGGCGCTGAGGATGATGTTATGCAGGAAACGCTTGCGAAGGTTGAGCATCAGCGGCGCGCCCCCTGCTTGTAGCCCGCAATACCAGGTGGTGGATTTCTGACCAACATATGACTCCATGTGCCTCATCGTATATACCGCTGACTCTACACCGGCAGTGGGTTCTCCCCATGCCACCATCATCCTTTTAGGTTGCATATGCCTCAGACGTAGTGCACGCACCGACTGTTGTTTTCTCTCGAGATATGCAGCTAGGAGGTCCCTCTGTAATGCCGACCAACTTTAACTAGTAAGTGGATTAGAACTAATGGGTGTGACAGATGGTTAGCCGCATGTGATACTCACCAATTCCCCCGGGATGCGTCCGTATATCTCTATGCTATCGCTGACAGCTGGAGCGCTGTCAATAATGTCAAAGGTCCCATGCTTGAAGCTGATGCTGATCATGAAGAACCGGCTGTTATGCATAATCGGGAAGATATACTGCAAGAACAAGTACAACATATTACACGGTAAACACATACAAACTTTAATATTGCAGGCAATTAGAAAGCGTGTACGACTTGGTACTGTAGCAACTGCCATTCTTTTTTTTACATCAACCAACAAGATTCTAAATTACAAGGCAATATAGAAGATAGCAGCAGGAATTCTACTTGAAACTGAGAATATAGTACTGAAATGCACAACTATTTCCCATGGTATTGTTATTCAATGCAGCTTTGTGTTATTATTGAGCCTTATTCGTTGTGTTTTTTTTTTTACTGAAATCTTGTTGGTATCACAGTACATTTTTTTTTGTCTCACACTGTTTTTTTTTGTTTTTTTTTTTTTTTTTGTGTTTTGTTTTTTTTTTTTTTTTTCTGAAATGTCGTCACTAACATAGCATTTGCACAGATATAACGAACAAAAAAGTTGTTGTAATTCTACTCGAAACTACTAATACAGTCCTCCAATGCACAACTACTCCCCATGGTATTGCTGTTAAATGTCGCTCTGTGTTTGTGCCTTATTCGTGGAGAGTGTTTTTTTTTTTTTTTTAATTTTACTGAAATCTTGTTAATATCACAATACCATTTTTTTTAATTCACACTGCACTTTTTTTTTTTTTAAACCGAAATGTTGTAGGTATCACACTGCACTTTTGTGTTTTATTTTTCTTTTGGTTTTTTTTTTTTTTAAAACTCACACTGCACTGAAATGTTGTAACATGTATGCACCCCAGATTAAAGGAACCTGAAAGTTTCTGGCAATTAAAAACAAAACGGTGAGCAAAGGTTACCATGTCGAGCGTGGCGATCCCCACATGGTCGGTAGTTTGCACCTCTATATCAAGTCTTCGTGTGAACCACGCTAGTCTATCATTCCGGCTGCAAGTAGCAGCGACCACCGTCCCAATCTGCATGCACACATTGTTATGGATTGCCAGGGAGCACGTAATTAGTGTATGCACTAACAAAGTAGCCCCGTAAGTGGTTTCTGTTTTTGTTTTTGTTTTTGTTTTTGTTTTTGTTTTTTTTTTTTTTTTTTTTTTTTGTTTTTTTTTTTTGCAGTTCGTATTACTAACAGACTGACAGTGAGAGGGACCTGATTTTTAGATGCGTAAGTACTAACAGAAACACTAGGTATGCATTATAATCTTCCAATTGACCGCCTTTTAAAGTTATGATAAACCCAGAAGCTAAAAGTATGACTACCCTAATTTTAGTGCACAAGAAATAGGAAGGACAATGAAGACATAGGGGACTGCTAATGGTACGTAGAGCTACATACCGTAGTGGCTGGAGTTAAAAACATGCGTGAAGATACCCCGGGCTTCCTATAGTTTTCCCTCGTATTGAGTACAAAACACCACGCATCGACCATCACTTTAGAGATGTTTGACCCCTCCTTGAGTGTGGTGAAGTCCGCCCATCTTGCTTTCCGGGCCGCATGCTGGAACAGCACTTCATTGCTAATAAAGCAACACATACAACGCGTGTTATATATAGTTCATGCCCCCCCCACCCTCTCATTTCCCAAGCTATGGTGTACGGTACTTACCGGTCGCCGTGCGGTGAGTCAAAAAGCCACTTCCAAATGACATAAATGGGTGGGAGGGGAGCCGTGGAGTACCCCTTTGCGGCGTTGAAAACCATGCAAAACGGTTCACTCTCATTCCCAAGTGGGCTCTTGCCTTTGTGGAGTGCTCCAGGCCTCTTGCCCAGTGGCACACGCGGCGGTGGTGATTCCAGGATGAACCCCCCCTGCTGTGCAGGGTGGTGTACCTGCACGAGCTAATTAAATACCCCTGCATTACTGCCCTAGTGCACACACTGCATGATGTCTAACCTGTTACCTGGGGAGTCAGCGTGGTAGCATCTAACGGGCCAGGCGTCCTACGCTCAAACCTCAATGATGCTAGCGTGCGCAACCCCCGCTGCGGCGTAATGGTCCCCTCCGTCTGCTGTCCCTGTAACGGTTAAGTGCACGCATCAGAAGATAACACATGTAAACCCTCAAGATAGGCAAAAACTAAAGTAAATCAGTAACCTGCATAAGTTGTGTGGTCGCATTTGACGGGCCAGCTGTCAACCCCTCCATCCCTGGACGCGTCTCCCTTACCTGAACCACCTGACATGGGGTAGTAAATCAATGACCCATTAAGATCGAAATGAACGCTTAACTAGACTAGACCCCAACACATATTACATTCAACGAGCCAGCCGGCATATCCTCTACCCTCTGTGATGCCAGCTCTTGTGTCATCCCTAGGCTAAAACTCGGTGGCTCAAACCCTTCCGGACTGGGCTCCCTGACTTGCACCCCCTGAAACAAACGATTGCATAAGACATGTAAGTTTTAACGCCCTACCCCCGCAGTGCACTGTTGATAAAATAAAACAAAATTATTTGCATCGGCACTAACTATAGATTCTAGAGTGATAAAATTGTAAGTGGAGAGATAATCGGAAAACTAAATCACAAGAAAACTTTCATAATGGTATCGTAAGTCAATAGAATATAAAAATAATAGCCAGCAGAATGAGTGGCGTTTAGGCCGTAACCTGTCGAGATTGCATGGTTCCATTTGCCTGGCCAACTGGCATACCCACCACCCGCTGTGTCGCTAGATCCCGCATGACGGCCTCCTCAACCCGATTGACCTCCCTGAATAACTGGGAGGACTGCCAGAACGGGTCTTCATGGTGCTCTGGAGGTAAGACTGGCGCGGTGGTCACTTCAGGGACCCGATTGGGTGCGACTTCAGCCGGGGCCGGTATCAAACCCGAGATCAAACTAGTGACCCCACCCAGGTGGTGGTGTACCTGCACGAGCTAATTAAATACCCCTGCATTACTGCCCTAGTGCACACACTGCGTGATGTCTAACCTGTTACCTGGGGAGTCAGCGTGGTAGCATCTGACGGGCCAGGCGTCCTACGCTCAAACCTTGATGATGCCAGCGTGCGCAACCCCCGCTGCGGCGTAATGGTCCCCCTCGTCTGCTGTCCCTGTAACGGTTAAGTGCACGCATCAGAAGATAACACATGTAAACCCTCAAGATAGGCAAAACTAAAGTAAATCAGTAACCTGCATAAGTTGTGTGGTCGCATTTGACGGGCCAGCTGTCAACCCCTCCATCCCTAGACGCGTCTCCCTTACCTGCACCACCTGACATGGGGTAGTAAATCAATGACCCATTAAGATCGAAATGAACGCTTAACTAGACTAGACCCCAACACATATTACATTCAACGAGCCAGCCGGCATATCCTCTACCCTCTATGATGCCAGCTCTTGTGTCATCCCTAGGCTAAAACTCGGTGGCTCAAACCCTTCCGGACTGGGCTCCCTGACTTGCACCCCCTGAAACAACCGATTGCATAAGACATGTAAGTTTTAACGCCCTACCCCCGCAGTGCACTGTTGATAAAATAAAACAAAAATATTTGCATCAGCACTAACTATAGATTCTAGATTGATAAAATTGTAAGTGGAGAGATAATCGGAAAACTAAATCACAAGAAAACTTCCATAATGGTATCGTAAGTCAATAGAATATAAAAATAATAGCCAGCAGAATGAGTGGCGTTTAGGCCGTAACCTGTCGAGATTGCATGGTTCCATTTGCCTGGCGAACTGGCATACCCACCACCCGCTGTGTCGCTAGGTCCCGCGTGACGGCCTCCTCAACCCGATTGACCTCCCTGAATAACTGGGAGGAGTGCCAGAACGGGTCTTCATGGTGCTCTGGAGGTAAGACTGGCGCGGTGGTCACTTCAGGGACCCGATTGGGTGCGACTTCAACCGAGGCCGGTATCAAACCCAAGATCAAACTGGCGACCCCACTGAGGTGGTGGAAACACTGGCGTCTCTGGGCCTGTCTAGGGTCTTCGCGAACCTTATCTGCAACGCGTGAGGCTACTGTACGGAGGTCAGCAATCATGGAATCTAGTTCACAGCCAAACCCCTACAGGATGAACATGGCCCACCCACAGAAAAACCGCAGGGAACAAGTTAACTACGCCACCATCATGATGTCTTAGCACATTTAGCAAATCGCCGCATGAGTATTTATACCTTGTTTGCATCCGGAATGAGGCCATGGTGCACCGGGTGGTCCCCTGCAGCGCCACGGCTGCCCGTGGTATCCCCTTGAGGGCTTGGGACCGTTGGAGCACGGGACGCTGCGCTGACCTGCAACCACACGTAGAGGGTGTCTAAAGGATTTTGGCAGTTGTAGAATTTTAATTACCTAACACTAGAATATCATACTACAACTTCCAGCTCACACCTCCAATAAAAACTACTAGGAATGTCGCCTACAAATTTCATTTTTCCCAAAACTGTGCTAGTGTGAAAAAACCTAGGTTGGGTTCAGTAGTGCCCCAAAAATGTAACCGTACCATGCTAACACCTGGTGTGTGACCTTGGTGCACTGGTTGTGGTCTGCTATCCGCCCGGCCATACCGTGTCTGTTCCACGGAGCTACGACACCTGGGTCGCGAGGCTGATGTCGAAAACGGTTCCTCCAACTGCCCGTACCCGAACTCCCCCGCATCAACCTCCTGTTGCTCCCGTGCATCCAACGCCCTTTTAGTCCACCCGTGTGCGGCCGGGTTGGCCCTGGGTACATTTCGCTCACCAGCTTCGACCCTGTCAACATAAAACAGCTGCACAAATATGTTTGCACGCATTATACCCCCATAAAACAAGCACCAGCAAGTTTACGCATCTACTCGTACATCCAAGCGAATGCATAACTTACAGTCAAGAACAACAACGGGCCCGGGAATTTCCTTGCGGTGTTTTGGGTCCAGCTATCATGGGTATTCACCAGGGAGCTTAGAAGATAACCACACCAATCAAGATCCTTGATCATCCTCACATCCTTAAACATGTGTACGGTCTTCTGGTTGGCATAGCTGTTGAGTGTGCTCGCCACCAAAGTGCTCGCCACTACCACACAAAAATGGCGTTTGAACCACACCCCACCTTCTTTGAGACTTAACGCCAGCGTGGCCAGCGCGTGCACCGTGATATTACCTTTACGGTTCTTAACCTTACACCGCCATGCAAGCAAGTCTGGACCAACCATATGGGTATCCCGTTCGGTCATCGTAACGGATCCATTCGGGAGGCCCAGCACAGCTGCCACGCCTTCCTCCGTGATGCGTAGGAACCTCCCGTTGCTCAACTTTATGGCCATTTGTGCAGGGTTGAAGTTGCTTACCAACCAATGGCCTAGACGCAAGGGTAAAGCCTTAACCCGGAGGCCCAGCAACCCCCCCATGCCAATAGAAATAACATCCTTCCTCTGCTTTGTCGATAATCCGGTGAGCAGCCGTACAAGCTCACTCGGCCTCCCCCGCGTCTCAATCTGGGGGAACGGGGACATGATATCATGCACCGGCTCCGTATCATCCAACTCCTCGGGGTCACGAGGGGGGGTGGGGGCCTCGTCATCCACATCGGTCCCATCGTCACTTAAAATGATTGGTTGTCTAGCATCAGCCCCTGCACCACCACAGAATTTGGTTACTAGCAGCATGGAAATGAAAGGGAATTTATAGTAGCAGTAACTACCTTTTAGGGCAGCATACATTTAGGACACTACCTGCCTGTATTTAAGAAGTTACCCTCTGTTAAATAACTAGGTATCATTACTGAAACTGCTTACAAGTTATTTAATTCATTCCCTACTACTTACGAGAATTTGAGAGCTGTGGAGTAGTGCCTCGGGCCAAAATTAGGACTGTGCACAATTAAACAGCTTTTAAAGACCTGATTAATTAATTGGCAGTTCTTTTGGAAACCAGTTGTTTAATGTAAGTGCACTGCATGTAATTCTGCACATGTAACCTTCCTCTGCATATACATATGCAATTAATACCATATATTTGAAGAATCCCTATCTAAAATGGAGATATCGAGTTTGAAATAGTCGGGGATCATTTGAGATGTTCACCAAATATATAATGTAATGAGGTCACCAGTAAGCACTACACATGTAACCTTCCTCCGTATATACATATGTAATTAATAACATATATTCGGAGAATTCGTTTATAAAATTGTGTTACTGAGTTTGAAATAGTCGCAGATCATTTGAGATGATCACCAAATATGTAATGTCAAGAAGGATTAGGACAGCATTTAACGATATGATTAATTAATTGGTATTTAAAACACAAACTAGATGTTTAATGAAAATGCAGTGCATGTAATGTGCCTCACGCCAACCTTAGTGATCAAGTGAACAATCAAACTAAAAAATAAATAAAAAAAGTACTTATGCTACCAGCAAATACTGTACACTAACAAAAAAAATTAACAAATGATGTGGCAACTAAGCTCAGTATATAACATATGCAATTAATACCATATATTTGAAGAATCCCTATCTAAAATGGAGATATCGAGTTTGAAATATCGAGTTTGAAATAGTCGGGGATCATCTGAGATGTTCACCAAATATATAATGTCAAGAAGGATTTGGACAGCATTTAACGATATGATTAATTAACTGGTATTTAAAACACAAACTAGATGTTTAATGAAAATGCAGTGCATGTAATGTGCCTCACGCCAACCTTAGTGATCAAGTGAACAATCAAACTAAAAAATAAATAAAAAAGTACTTAATGCTACCAGCAAATACTGTACACTAACAAAAAAAATTAACAAATGATGTGGCAACTAAGCTCAGTATATAACATATGCAATTAATACCATATATTTGAAGAATCCCTATCTAAAATGGAGATATCGAGTTTGAAATATCGAGTTTGAAATAGTCGGGGATCATCTGAGATGTTCACCAAATATATAATGTCAAGAAGGATTTGGACAGCATTTAACGATATGATTAATTAACTGGTATTTAAAACACAAACTAGATGTTTAATGAAAATGCAGTGCATGTAAATGGGGTCACCAGTAGGCACTACACATGTAACCTCCCTCCGTATATACATATGTAATTAATAACATATATTCGGAGAATTCATTTATAAAATGGTGTTACTGAGTTTGAAATAGTCGCAGATCATTTGAGATGATCACCAAATATGTAATGTCAAGAAGGATTAGGACAACATTTAATGATATGATTAATTAACTGGTATTTAAAACACAAACTAGATGTTTAATGAAAATGCAGTGCATGTAATGTGCCTCAAGCCAACCTTAGTGATCAAGTGAACAATCAAACTAAAAAATAAATAAAAAAAAAGTACTTAATGCTACCAGCAAATACTATACACTAACAAAAAAAATTAACAAATGATGTGGCAACTAAGCTCAGTATATAACATAGAACATTAAAAATGCAAGCTTTCACATAAACTGGAGTTTTCGTCTGTTTCAAAGACAGTAGCTACCTTTTAGATGGGAATACTCCTAATAAGGATGCAACCATAAATCAAGAATTAACCGTTTTCATTAGATTGTGGGAATGCAGACAGGTAGCACCCTACTGTAAAATATATTAATAGCATATATTAGGAGAATCCCACAACCAAATGAAGAAGGCAACTGTGATCAACTAAACTAATTCTTTGTCTAGTACTAATGAGCATTTGGTGGGCTATGCAGTAAGTGGGGTATGCAGTTGTGCCTCAAGCCAACCTTAGTGATCAAGTGAACAATCAAACTAAAAAATAAATAAAAAAGTACTTAATGATACGAGCAAATACTATACACTAACAAAAAAAATTAACAAATGATGTGGCAACTAAGCTTAGTATATAACATAGAACATTAAAAATGCTAGCTTTCACATAAACTGGAGTTTGAACTTGTTAAAATCTCATTTTAGTCTTGAATGTACCACAGAAACCCCCATTGTCTGCTTACTTCTGATAACCCTAGGAGTTAAAACTACGCCCATGCCCAGTTCAGTTCTCCCAGCCCTCAAAGAACTACCCTAATTAGAGTGCATCACCAGTAGTGCACACCGATTTTAACCCCCCCCCCCTACCCGCCAATATGAGCAAAACCAGAGGTGCATAACAAGGGACTGTTCTAACCTGAATGATCAAGTTGGAGCGCCGCCTGACGCCGGGCTGCGACCCTAGCTGCTATGCCGGACGCAGACAGAACCCCACTGCCGGACCGGCGTTTAAACGGCCGTGTCACCGGCAACACTGGCTGACCCGCCACCCTCCTCCTCGAACCCCGCGCGCCACTGAATCTAGCCATCACGAGCTTGTGAATGCACGGCGTTGCTTGTTATCTTTGATTACACCGGAGCGAACGTTCTGGTGAGTAGACTAGTCCGATTAGTCAGCTGGTGAAACACACCCCCCCCCCCCCCCCCCCCCCCCCCGCCTTGGGAGTCAAAAAAAGACTCGGGAATGCACTCCAGTGCTTGGTTGAGATTACAAACACACCCATTCCACAAGTGAAGTGTTAATAATTAGGCGTGATCCGGTGCACCAGCCTAATGTGCACTCTTGCTGATGGCCGTGCATCATGCCACATGCACGGCTGCTAATAGTGCACAAGTGCACATGCTAAGAGGAATTTGCACCAGAACTTTTTTCTATATATATATATATATATATATATATATATATATATATATATATATAGGCAGATTAGCAGCAAAGTTGCTGCCATTGCTTCGTTTTCCCGGTTAGGGGTTCAAATCCCACCTTAAACAATTTTTCAAATCAAAACCACTATAACTAAAACTAAACAATAACAATTTTTCAAATCAAAACCACTATAACTAAAACTAAACAAGAGATTCTCAAGGTGATCCCAGGTATAACATGATACACACTAGCTCTTTAACCAGCGTGCTACGACAGAGCTTAGTAACAAATCTTGTGTAGATCCTCTACTAAGCTTCATTGGTTGCAAGGAAAATGGTTTCTGCTACTCTCTGCTTTCCTTCTCTTAACAACACAGATCATATACTCAAATTCTACAAAATCACACAGCATATCAACAACAAATAACTTATATTTCATCATTCTAAAACACCCAAAATACATATATATACACACTTGAACAACTAAATCACATAACTTAGGGTAAAATAGTAGATTTGAGAATCCAGGGGTTATACCTTGAGCATCCTTGTTCTAGCCAAAACCATTTCTAAGCTCATCTCCTTAGCTTTATCTTCTTCCACCATTTCCATCTCTCAAGCAACCACAACAACCCAAACAAACACATCTAGCTTAGATAATCTCATCAAAGGAAATAAGCTAACCAAAGGAAATGGGAGAAGATATCTTACCAAGTCTTGAAACCTAAGCTTGGGAAGAAGAAGAAGCTCCAAAAATGAAGAAGATGAAGATGATGGGGAGAGAGGGAGGATGTCACGATGAGAGCTGCTGATTTTGGAGAAATGAATAGTGCACAAGGGAAAAAGCTATCTCTTATACTTAGGGCTTGGGGGTAAAAATGTAAAGATACAATTTTAGGGTTCACCTTGTATCATGGACCATGGTCTTAAAAATGATTTTGGAATAACTTGAGGTCAAAGATAGATTTTCTAAAAATAGTTTTAGTTGAAACACTTGGTTCAGGTTTCTCAAATTTCTTCCGGTTTCACTCAGATTGACTTTTGGGTCAAAAACTTGGTACACAATGTACATGAAAATCTAGGATTTTAGATTTAAAATAAGACCCAATGTTGAATTTACTTAAAAGTGGTTCAAAATAATTTATTCAAACACCGATTTTTATCGCAAAAATTTTTATAGAGTGAAAAATGGCTATTTCGGAATTTCTTAAAACCGAATTTATAAAATTAAATTTTGGGTTGTCACAGTGTGGCTCGGCCAAGCTCGCCTTCGCCAGTTTTGGCCGAGGCCTTTGTGCTGCTGAGGCGGCTAGCTGAGGCGGGGCTTGGCTCGTGGCCTGGCCGAGTCCAGCCAATTTTGGTCGAGGCAAGGACTTAGCCAATTTTTTTTTTAAGCTTTGATTCTTTTTCAATCTTGTGAAGAGTGCTAACGAATTTATTTAAGCAGGTAATCTGGGCGGACCATGATTAAAAAATATTATTTATAGATCTGGGCGGACCATGATTACAAATGCTATTGGTAATATCTAATCAAATGTTCCGAGTTCCATATCGATCAACCATCCTTCCACCTATCGTCTTTAATTTGTACGTTCCTGGGCGAACAACTTCCTCAACGATGTAGGGCCCCTCCCATTTCTTTGCGAATTTTTCTCCTTCCAGAGGTTGGCTAGCTTCCATTTTTCGCAATACGAAGTCGTCGATTTGGAAATATCAAGGTCAAACCCTTGCGTCATGATAGGATTTTAGCTTACAACTATAGTTTTCCATTTTGCAGAATGCTGCTTCTCTCTTTTCATCTAAGAAATTCAGATATACTTTTTGCTGGAGTTCATTATGCTCTGGCCTGTACTCCTCCATCCTCCTACTGGGTACGATCACCTCCACTAGAGCTTGAGCTTCAAATCCATAAGCGAGTGCAAATGGAGTCTCTCTAGTGGCCCTTCTTGGTTTGTGCGATAGGCCCAAAGAATGTCGTCGAGTTCTTCCACCCAAGCTCTACTAGCTACTTCTAGTTTTTCTTTGAGACCATCGATGATGGTTCTATTCGCGTTTTCCACTTGTCCGTTCGCCTGAGGATAAGAGACCACTACTTGGCTATGCTTGAAACCCCATCCAGCTAGGAATTCTGAAAATTATCTTGCTTCAAATTGACGACCATTATCTATGATTACCTGGAGGGGAATACCAAAGCGACACAAAATGTTTTTCTCTATAAATTTTTTGCACCTTGCTGCGGTGATTCTTGCTAGGGGCTCGACCTCCACCCATTTGGTGAAATAGTCGATAGACACAATGATGTATTTTCTGCTCCCGGACCCTGTGGGAAGGGCCCCTACTAGGTCTGTTATGATAATAATTATTGTGGCTCAAATTGAAGACAATTCCATGCAGCACTCTCTCCACTATCGCAATTGTCCGCGTCTCATGCAAGGCTTCACGTTACTACACAATTCTTCCGTGTTTAGCTCACATCCCTTTGCATCCCATTTTTTTCTCTTCTTTTGAGTGTATAAATAGGCAGTAGTGTTTTCTTTGTACATGGCTCATTATTACATAAATAGAAAATTCTTTCTCTTTCTTTGTCCCCTTTTTTTTTTTTGAAAGTTACTGGCTCTATTACATTGTAGTATCTGTTCATATACTTTCTCAACCTACTGAAACACAAAGAACCAATAACGCCTCCACTGAGGCTTAAACTCATAATCTTCCAATTGGAAGTCCAACCCGGATACCATTAGACCACGCAGTCCTGGTCATATATATATATATATATATATATATATATATATATATATATATATTCTTTTATTCCTAATTTCTTTGTCATTTATATTATTTTCCTATTATTTAACTTCTATAATTCTCAATTTTCGATTCTTCGCTTCCGCATTATTCCGCTATATTCCTAACAAGTGGTATCAGAGCGGTTTAATTGAGAGTTTTTCTCAAAGATGTCAATTGTTACCAAGTTTGATATCGAGAAGTTAGACGGAAAAATTAGCTTTTCTATCTGGAAGGTTCAGATGGAAGCCGTTCTAACCCAGAACGATTTGAAGAAAGCGCTAGCTGGGAAGAAGAAGAAACCGGCTGCAATGACAGATGAAGATTGGGAAGATTTGGATGACAAGGCACGTTCAACCATTCAATTGTGCCTGTCTAAAGAGGTTCTACGTGAAGTGGTAAGTGAGAAGACTACGTCAGATTTATGGTCCGAGCTGGAGTCGCTTTATATGGCCAAGTCTCTGGCGAACAAGCTGCGCCTGAAGGAGCGTCTGTACACAATCCGTATGACGGAAGGTACTTCGATTAAATCTCACTTGGATGAATTTAATTCTATTTTATTGGACTTGGAAAATATTGATGTCGTAATTGAAGATGAGGATCGTGCTGTTTTATTGCTTGTCTCTCTCCCTAAATCATACAAGCATTTCAAAGAAATTATGATGTATGGTAATAGTAGTGATACCCTTACTTTTGACAATGTTAAGTCAAACCTATTGTCCAAAGAAAAGTTTGACTCTGAAATTAAGTTGAAGACAAAGGTGAAGGCTTGACTGTAAGGGGTCGTTCACTTGAAACAGAGAGTAGCAATAAAAAATCTAGATCCAAGTCCAAAGGACATAAGTCCAACAAATCCTGTAAGTACTGCAAGAAGCAGGGTCACGATGTGACTGAATGCTTCAAGTTGAAAAACAAGCAAGAGAGAGAAAAGAAGTCTGCTGAAGCTAGTGTTGTTGAAAGTGATTCAGAAGGCGATGTTATGTTATCTGTTAGCTCCGGTGACAAACGGAGCAAATCTGAGTGGATTCTGGACTCTGGTTGTACATTCCACATGTGTCCTCACAAAGACTGGTTCGTCTCTCTGGAACCGGTTGATGGTGGAGTTGTCTTGATGGGTAATGATACCCAATGCAAGGTTAGTGGAATTGGAAGTGTTCAGATTAAAACTCATGATAATGTTGTCAGGACTCTTACCAATGTTCGGTATATTCCTGATTTGAAACGCAATCTGATATCCTTGGGCACCTTGGAATCTCTGGGGTGCAAGTACATAGCTGAAGGTGGAGTTCTGAAAGTCATAAAAGGCTCTCTTGTTCTCATGAAAGCTTCTCGTTCTGGAAGCTTGTACGTGTTGCATGGCAGTACTGTGACAGGTTCAGTAGCGGTATCCTCATCGATGTCTGATGCGGATCTCACTCAATTATGGCATATGCGTCTAGGGCATATGAGTGAGAAAGGAATGCATCTCCTGAGCAAGAAAGGTTTCCTTGGTGATTCAGGTACGGGTAAATTACAATTTTGTGAGCATTGTGTTTTTGGGAAACAAAAGAGGGTTAGTTTCTCTACTGCTACACACCGTACCAAAGATGTATTGGAATATATACATTCCGATTTATGGGGACCGACTAAATTCCAGTCTATGGGAGGATGTAGATATTTCATGTCTATTATTGATGACTTTTCCCGTAAGGTTTGGGTCTATTTCTTGAAACACATTTTTTGATTAATTGAATTCTTCCTTCTTACCTTTTAGCTATATCACATGTGAGCATATATATATATATATATATTTGATTTATATTCTCTCTAAGAGATTAATATATATATATACATTTATATTTCCCATTGGTCCTTATTCTTTGTCATTTATATATTTTTCCTATTATTTAACTTCTATAATTCTCAATTTTTGATTCTTCGCTTCCGCATTATTCCGCTATATTCCTAACAAGTGGGACATCTTTGAAAATAATTCTCAATTAAACCTGAACCACCAAGGAGGTCTCCCATTGGAGGCTGTAGATATTTTATGTCTATTATTGATGACTTTTCTCGTAAAGTCTGGGTCTATTTCCTGAAACATAAAAATCAGGCATTTTCTATTTTCAAGACGTGGAAAATACTTGTTGAGACTCAGACAGGTAAAAAAGTCAAGAAGCTCAGGACAGACAATGGCTTGGAGTTCTGTGAGTCAGATTTCAATGACTTCTGTGCGGCAAATGGAATCGCCAGGCACAAGACCTTGCCTGGTAAACCCCAGCAAAATGGTGTTGCCGAACGTTTGAACAGGACTCTATTGGAAAGAGCTCGTTGTATGCTCTCTAATGCTGGGTTATGGAAACGGCGTGATTTTTGGGCCGAGGCCGTTTCTACTGCTTGCTATTTGGTGAATAGATCTCCACATTCATCCCTTGACTTCAATATTCCAGAGGAAATTTGGTCAGGTAATCCTGTTGACTACTCTATCTTAAGAGTGTTTGGATGTCCTGCTTATGCTCATTCCAGTACGGGTAAATTAAACCCGAGAGCTGTCAAATGCATTTTCCTTGGTTATGCCTCTGAGTCAAAAGGGTATCGTCTATGGTCTCCTGATTCTCAGAAAATCATTCTGAGTCGAGATATCACTTTTGACGAAAATGCACTACTTTCTTCTGGAAAAGATTCCAGTACAGGTGAGACGCAGAGTACTGGTGAGAAGGTGGAGTTTGAATTCAGGCCTATTGATAGTGTTACTACTGCTGATGGTACTACTAAAGATGATGCATCTACTAGCATCGCACCTCTCGTCCAGCCACAGCGAGAGTATTCCATTGCTATGGATCGTCCTAGGAGGACAATTAAAAAACCTGCTAGGCATGCTAGTGATGATGAAACTAATATGGTTGCTTATGCTCTTTCAGTCACATAGGAAGTTGATGGTGATCCATCCTGCTATTCTGAAGCTTTTCCTATTACTAAGTTCAAGTAGCGCTTGAGTTTAGTCGACTGTTCCAGTTGTTAATTCTTACTGTGAATTTGATCCAAGGTGGAGATTGTTAT